GCGACACATCCCTCCAATTGCCCGCGTCGTCAATGCCAGTGGTTCGTGCTATGCTCTCGCTTGTAAAGTCCATACGTGGATTACAATAGCAAAACGGTCCGTGCGTTACAACGGGAGAAACAAAATCACAATCTACAATGGCCATGACCACATTTTGCTGCATCACCGAGATACACTATCACTCTCATTTTTGTGAAATCCCGAACAATTTTTGAAAAATCATGAACAATTTTTTAAACTCGTGAGCATACCTGAAATCACAAACATTTTCCAAATTCGTGAACATATATACAGATTTTCGCACATTTTTAAAAATCATGAACATTTTCTGAATTCATGAACATTTTTAAAAATATTTTTGTTTAATAGGCGAAGATTTCTAGAATTGATGAACAGTTTTTCAAAACTGTTTGGTGGAATAATTTTTTAAATTCACGAACATTTTGTGAATCAACAAACTATTTTGTAAGTCACGGACGGTTTTTGAATATTTAAGATATTTTTTAATTCATCAATATTTCCTGAATTGGCGAAATTTTATATATTTTGTAAGTCACGAACAGTTCTGAATTTTTAGGATATTTTCAATTCATGAATATTTTTTGAATTGGCGAATTGTTTTTCAATTTCATTAAAAAAAATTATACACGAACCTTTAAAAAAATCATGAACATTTTTTTGATTTTCTGAACATTTATTTTCACAATTGTGAATAGTTTACTTATATGCGAACATTTTCTGAACCCACAAGCATTTATGAATTATTAAACATTTTATTTCAGAAAATTCTCATTTTTTCAAATTTTCGGAAATTTTTTGAAGTCCCGAAGTGGAAATAAACAAAGACAGAAAACGAAAACGAAAAATAGAAAACAAAATTGAAATAAAAGGCCTCATGGTGATGGGCCGGCCCAAACAGGCACCGTGTCTTCTTCCAGCACGCTCGTGTGCGTATTATAGCAGGTTCCTTGGGCCGGCCCAGGCGGGGATTCCCATGTGTGAAACTTTTTTATCACTTACGGGTGGCATTGGTGGGTAATTCTTGCCAACTTTAAGGGCAATTTCGATGACGGACGACCAGAAGCAATAGCCCCTTTATTATTAACTAGTAAAAGAGCCAGTGCGTTGCAACGGGGGTAACAAAATTATGTTTGGCCACTTACCACAATTGCTCCATCTCATCATTGTCATCAACCTATTCATCCTTCTGCCCTTTTGCAAGTTTTCTTCTGCCCTTTTGCAAGTTTTATTATGTACACGGCCTTGTGGTTTCCGTCATCATACCGAGCAAATGCCAGTTAGAAAGGAGAGGTGGAGGTCAAGGTCTACTTTGAGTGCCATCTTAATAACTGCAGCCTCAATCAGTTTTACTTTTCTTATCAGCAAAATTAATGATTTTGATTTGCTTGTATCTGGGTTATATAACCAAATGCTCCTCGTGGAGCTAGTGTCAACATCCCTTGATGGTAATCATTATAGCTGCAATAGAAAGTTGTGATGTTGCATCGAATATATTTGGGTGGGATCATGCACATGGAAAAAATTGGTACCATCGACGGTGAAGGGTAAGAGAGATGTAGGTTACCTAAAAATATATTCAACTTGAAAATAGTACTCCCTCTATAAAGAAATATAAGAGTGTTTCAATTCTTCACAGAGGGAGTACGTGTCAAATATTGTATGGTCCGGTAGAAAGCATCTACCTAGCTTTTGCGACATTACTGCATGTGTTGTTGCAGTTGACGGTCAGTTGGTCCGCAGGCAAAGACATGTACATCAGCTTGAGCTCTGAGTCAAAAAAGATATGCGAGGTACCGATTCAACGAGAATGACCGTGTCGGCCTCCCAGTGAGAGAGTTGCTTCTCCTGTGAGCTCCCACTCGAGGGAAGCGAGGCATGTAGAGCCAGCCTGGTTCCAAAGATCGGCAAGCTCCCCATCTTGTTGTAAACTTGTAGAGTAATCAATGCCAAATCACAAGTATGTTTAGGGTGATTAAAAGTTGCGGTAGCAGTACTTCTTGTCCCAGTCTCTACATGGAGTGCATATACATATAAATGGTATAATCAATTACAAGATGACCAACTCCCCTATATTAATATGTGCATACGATGTGATTATTGAGGGTCCTTTATATCATTGATGATTGATTGATGGAAGCAGCGGCTGATGCGATCAATATAATGGTACTAATGCACGTGATCGAAAACGTGTTGCATGGCGTCTAGATCGATGCGCCCGCGTCCTAGGGCCTAGGGGCTGCCGCTAAGCTGGCGACAACTTTGCTGAGGCGAGCTTATTGTTTTAAGAAGCGTGTTGGTTCTTATATTTTTATACATGTATATACCTAGTCTTATGTCCACGTTCAACAGATTCAGATGGAATATCGAAGAGAGATGATCGAAAAAAATGCGTGTATCGTTTGTGCCTGACTCGGACCAATGGGATGTAAAAAATTAGGCTGACGAAAGGATTTTCCAGGTATGTATGTATATTTAAAATTTATACACATTTTCAGGTTTTTTCCCATATATAACCTGTTATATTTTGAGTTAGTGTTTGATAGATAAATATTTGAAGACAATTTTAATGTGTCATAAAAAATTAGGCCGACGAATGGATTTTTAGGTAGTATGTATGTATATTTAAAATTTATAGATATATTTTTAGGAAAATCAATATATAACATGTTATATTTTGAGTAAGTTTTTGATAGATAAATATTTTGAAGACCATTTTAATCTGCCAGACATAAGAAATTAGGCCAACGAAAGGATTTTTCAGATAGTATGTATGTATATTTAAAATTTATACACATTTTGAAGACCATTTTAACCTGTCAGAAAGAAGAAAAATTAAACAAGAAAAGAGGGGGGAAACGTGAGAGAGCCCGCGATCGAACCCACGTCTTCCGGATAGAAAACTGACGCTCCAGCCAATACACTATTTACGTCCTTTCGATACTTTTGGAACATTCCATTTGATAAACATAGAGGCCACTGCCTTGACTTGTGAAAAAAAACTGAATCGTTTTTCCTATTTATAGATGGCATTGGTGGGTAATATTTAGCAAGTTTAGGGGCAAATTATATGACGTACCACCAGAAGCAATAGCTGCTTAATTATAATATATATATATATATATAAACTAGCAAATTTGCCCGTGCGTTGCAACGGGAGAAAAACTATTAGATTTTTTGGAGGGTAAAACTATTAGATTATAAAGGTGTGATAGAATAAAAAAGTCTGAATCAAATGCCCGGATGAGATAAGGACTTTTAAAATGTCATTTTCACAAACTATATCCGAGTGATGTCATGATGAGATAATGTATTTTTAAAAGTCATTTAAAAAAATGTGATGGTCTTATCACGACTTGATCTCCTAAGGCGCCACAACGAAAAAAATTCACTGAGCAAACTACATTGATGGACACTGTCTGAGCTAGACCGATGAATGATGTGTCTCACCCTGACCTAGCGTAATGCTGTTTCTCATAATTAGTATTATGAATATGTTTTGAATAATATTATTTTAGAAAGCATGAACATTTCTCATTTCATGACATTTATTTGAAATCATGATCTTTTTTGTAAAACATGAACAATTTTTTGAAATCGTGATCATTTTATGATTTTTCAAATGTTTTTTGAATTCACAAACAATTTATGATTTCAAAAAAAATTAACTCACAGCTTTTTAAAACTTGGTTCTTTTATAAATCAAAAATTAATTTTAAAAAGGAAAAACTAAAACAAAAAAGAGAAAAACAAAATAGGAAAAAAAAGGAGAAAAGCGATAGTCCTGGGGGTCGAACCCTGGTCTCCAGGGCGCGCGGCAGCAATCAAAGCCACTGCACCGCTGGGACGATACTGTTATTTCTACGTAGTGACTTCTAGTAACGTGAACCCGAGCGCGATTTTGAAATAAAAGCGAACCGTTTTTTCAACTTACGGGTGGCATAGTGGGTAATTTATGCCAACTTCGGGGGTAATTCTAATGACGGACGACCAGAAACCCAATTTGCTTTATTATTAGGTAAAGATAAAGATAAAGATATATATATATATATAATATAATATATAATATAATATAATTATTAATTATTAATTATTATTATTATTATTATTATTATTATTATTATTATTATTATTATTATTACTAGGACAATACCCATGCGTTGCAGCGGGGCATGCCTATTCTGTGCAACACCAATCAGTTGCAAATGAGAAGTAATTTTGACAACATGACTTGTCTCTAAAATAAAATAAAATGCAGTAGTCATAATAGTCCTACGGTGATGGATAAATGAGGAAACTGACTTTGATTTCCTGCCATAATCGACTTACACTGGCTCCAGATCGACATACAAGGCCCTTGAAACGTGTTGAATGCATCCGTTGCAACCCGGCCCAACACAGCTATCACTACGAAAGGATGGCACAACTTAGGATTGGGCAACATAAAGCAGGACTTTATCGTTGGTACAAACCAAGACACTTGTTAGTATGAAATCCAGAGAAGATTGTTTTAGAAAAGTAAAAATAATACTGGGTGCACTATCAATTCATAAAAGTACCCAGATGCCTACTAAAATTAAACTGGATCAACAAATCATCTAGCAAAAATCCCTGAACATTACACCTTTTCATCATTCGCCAATTCAATTATGAAAAAACAAATCATCAATCAATGATATGAAATAGTAGCAGTATCCTGCATTTGGGCTATAGTTTCTGCAGCTGATGGAGCAAGTGCAAAAGATACCCAACACTCCACACGGCAAGGCACATCTTATTCCCTATTTTAGCTTTTGGACCAAGACCACACAGAGAGACCCGTCGTCCATGGAAAGAACTGTCCTGGCAAGGATTGAAAAGATTCAAGGCCCTACAATGGCGATGGATCCCAGTGCTAGCTAAATATGTCTTCTAATCTACTGAATGCCTGAATGCAATGCCCTAATCACGGAGCAGCGACTTTTGAATGTGATGCACTAATCTCACGACTCCTCATGTGGAGGCGGCAGATTAGCGTGCCAAGCCGCCACCGGCGTCCGAGCTCTATGCAAACTTGTGGGACCCTGGGGGAGTGAGCGCCCAGGATAGTACAGCACCTATGCATACACACACACTTGTACAAGAAGTTCTCCGAAACGTCGCAGAACAGCGGATCGAGCCGCCGTGTCGACCGCCGAGCCCTCCTTCCACGCTGCCGCAGATCAGTCGATCGTCCCGTCATCGTTGACCGAGCTCTCCATTAGTGCCACTGTAGAGCAGCCTGCCACATCGCCGCGCCAAGCTCTCCATCCGACCCACCACATAACTTTGCCTTGTACTCTAAGAATATAATAATTAGCAAATCAATTGGTTGTCAAGAAATAAACAAGCGACTGTCTTCTGTATATTACTTTCAGTTGTTCAATGAAGATGGCTGTGCATTGTGGAATTACTCCACTCAAAATACTGGAATGCCCAAACTGAAGACCTAGACACCTAACAACTATTTTATAGAGAACCCCACATAGTTCTTTTATAGAGAACCTCGCAAACCTCGACTAATCTATATCATGCAGGGAAAGTATCAATCATATATATCTTCAGAATCCCCATACACATCAAGAAGCATTATATCCCTTTTCTTACTGTTAAATCATTCTTATTTCCTCCTTGAACCAAACTCGCCATGCCTATATCCTTCGAGCCAAGGGAATATTGTACTATACAGAGGAGAAGATTAACACTCCATATTGAGAGAACAAATCAAGTTTAGTATAGGTGGTACCAGTGCCATGTTTGAGATCATGTCGTCGCTGCTGAACCTTGTACTATGTCATCTAGCAGAACACGTAATTCCTTTGCCTCGTATATATTTCCCTTGATGCATGGATGGAGCTGAACATGCCCTGAACTCTGCTCTCCTTTCCTGTTTTGACTTCAATAAACTTGAGTACATAGTATTCACACTACTACTACTGTACAACATATAATTGATATTTTACTGTGTGAAAAGAAATTAAGTCAAGACCCTGAAGAATGCTACAAAAATATCTAAGTGTCCACATCGATGTTCTTAAATTCTGGACAAAGATTGTAACCCAGATGTAGATTTCAAGTTGGAAGTTTTATGCACAATCCTTCATATGTTTGGCAAGAAAAATAATATCAATGAGCTTCTAGCTTCTGCACCAACGAATATATACCAGAATCTAGCCTTTTGTAGCCAACCAAACCTAGAAAACAAAGTTTAGAGGGGGGTGGGAGGGGGAAATAGAGTCTGTCCACTTGCTCTGTAACATTAGGAGCCATGATACGCCAGTTTTCTGCTCAACTATTCGAAGTATAAACCACTTTTACTACTGAGTGCCAACTCGAGAAACAAAATCTCATATGTCATCTTACAACGTAGCAGTAAGCGTTAATTAAGAAGCAATATCTCATATTGTGTAGCTAGAGGAAATGAACATATCAGTCATGAAAGTTGACTCACAGTATTCTTCCTGGGGGCATCCAGCCCTAGTTGATAGCAAGAATTCTTCATGCAATCTTCTCCTTGTTGGTCACCTTTCCGCACGTCACCTATGACATAGTCATAACCTGCACGGGTGAGTGCCAAGAACCCAAAGTTCAAGATCAAATTAAATTAATCGCCAAATAACAACTTAGAACTTGTGAAGAAGCACAAAATGCTAGAGTCCAGAAATAGAGGCAGATTAATTCTACTAAAGTTTTAAGATATTGAAATATTTTTGGTTTGATAACATGTCAATAGAAATTTCGAAAAAATGGTGGCAAGTCATACAACAGACAGATAAATTTGTCCAAGAACTGATCCTCCATGTCCGGAGAGAACAATCACAGCTACATGGAAGATTTCAACGTGTTTAATTGAAAAACTTTGAGCATATTAACATCCTCCGAAGTCTGAATCTCTCCACCTTCCACTCTATGGGCATTGTCTTCCATGCGATAAATGTAACTACTTCGCATGAAAGGTATAATATAAACTCCCAACAGAAGGTCAGAATTAACATGTTCAAATCCTGCACTTGTATTGATGGACAAAAGGTTCATGACTTGCACACAGACAACTCTTGTGGGCAAGAAAGGGACCCATTCGTTGCTGCTTCTTTGTTTCTCTGATCAGCTTTTGCTAGGACTGAACTAAAGAAGAGGTCATTTAGATTCAGAACCTAAAACCTTGCTCGTTGTAGAATCCTTCTCTGAATTCCAAACTTTTTGCAAGAGCAGTCATTGTAGATCATAATTTACCATGTGATTCATCGGAAAAAGAAAAGGAATGGAAAAATGACATGCTACAAACATAATATAACTGAATATCGCATTGTCATATACAGTACGGATTATAAGACGCATAGCTCTAATATCATCATTTTGCAGAGGGAAAGGCTTTAGACTTTTAGTGCATTAACATCAAAAGATAGCGCTAACAATAGAAAAGAAGTGGCTTATATTTAGAGAAGTAGAACATAAATAAAAGGGAAGCAATATACATAAATAGCAAGATATTCTATGATAAACACACACATCAGGTTTCTGATGGTCCACACAACATCAGAAATAACAATATATATCTAGAAAAGAACTATGTAGGGTTCTGTTTTCTGATCCATTGAGAAAGCCACAACCTCCTTCCCACGAGAGAGCATGATCCATGAATTGCAGCAGCTAGCCACTACAACATGAGAGGATCATAGTAGCTCGGCAACCGTCGGTGACCCAAGTGCAATGTAACTAACTGCTTGTGTGACCTTAATATGATTTAAATTGATGAACCCAATATGTTTGTCAAGAAAAATCCGAAAACAAAACTGCTTGTGCGACCATATGGATTAAATTGCTGAATCTCAGTATAGTGGAAAAGATATTAATAACCTGCAGGGTAAGATTTCCAATCCTAATGTTTGCTAGCATGCATAACAATGTGACTCCCAGCATGCACCAACAATACGAAAAGATTAGAGCTGGAAGGCATCTGAATTCCTAATACAGAGAACATGATGAGCAAAAAGTAATTCAAGTTGAACAGAACCAAATCCTACAGCTCACCCATCTTATGAGGTAAGGGTTCCTGCTTCCAAAATATAATTTTCTTTGCAAATTCAGATGACCATTATAAGAATAATTAATACATGGCATGGCCATAAATTATATCCGGAACAAAATTTGTTGAAGCAAGAACTTGAGCAACTATTTCCAACTGTGTGGGTTACCTCTGATCTCTGTGGGGATGAGAAGGTCCTCAGTGAAGGACGAAGCGGCCACAGTGGATCCATGACCTGAGATGGCATCCTGTAGATGCCAACCCATAGAATACAGAGCATGTTTGCCAAAAGATCGCAGCACCTCCGATAGCTCAATTTGGTCGGATGAAGGTAAATAACAATTAAAACTAAAAAGGCGCAGCAAAGATAAATGGAAAAAGGTGCATGGAGGTGTTGTCTCTAGGCAAAAAAAAGGTCAGCACCTAACTGTAACTTCTTCATACAATTAAAGAAAATCTACAGATATACATTTGTCAAGCAATAGGAGTCGGCGTACCCATGTGTCTTGAGACTCCACATGATGTAAATTAATTAGCAAACCATTATTCTAGTAACCTGATTCACTCCCACCATCATAACATGCTTTGAATCATATGGAAGGAGATTTTGTCTCATGATGTATTCATGTGAGAGTTTACCTCAATGATCTGTGACTGAAACTGGCTCGGACAAACACACAAACATCGTGTGTGCAAAAAATAACTGAGAACATACACAAACACATGCTCGTCTAAATTTGAGGTGGAGGGTGGTGCAGAGGGGACGGCCAGGTCGCTGGCAAGTGCAACGACGCCCAGCTCGCGGTGGCTCTGGTCGAGCAGCGAGCGCAAGCCCTCCTGGGCGGCGCACAACAAGGAGCTCGGGCGCGCGGGAGAGAGGAGGAGCTCGGGCACGCGGACGCGGGGCAGAGGGGGAGCTAAGGTGGAACGGTGGTGCAAGGTGCTGCCATTACCGGCGTCGTCCGGCGGCCGGCGGTCACCGGATCGAGGGCCGCGCGGGCTGCGGGCCTCCTGGCGGCTGGGATCAGGAGGCGAGGGAGAGAGGAGAGCCCGTGCAGCCGCGTTCGTGTCTGTTCACTTTTTTCATTTACAACCCTGGATGAAACGGTTTTTCACTTTAAAATAGGGATTGCGGATTGATTTCTTAGAAACAGAGGGACTCTGATGCAAAATTACTCACGTACGACCAGAATCAGTATCTGCTTTATTATTATTACTAGCAAAAGGCCTATGCGTTGCAACGGGAGAAAACATTGACTGCGTTGCAACAGAAGAAAACAAATAATTATTTTTTGTGTTTCTAACTTAATAATGTGAATTAAAAGAGTAACTTAATTGAATAATGCAAAAAATATTGATAATGTATGAAAATGCATGGAATAAACGTTAGTACAAGTATTTTATTTTATGAAAAAAAAGGAAAAAGTATGTGTTTACCTCCAGCCGGTAGGGCTGTCAACAAAGCTCGGACTCAATGTACTGTTTCATGCTCGATTAACTTATTTTTTAGTGGATCGTGCTCGATTAACTATATGCTCAAATTTGACTTCAACCTGCTTACCTCGTTCGGTGGGCTGGCCAAAAATCGCGCATTAAAGGTCAATGCAAGATGGCCACTTTGACTGGTTGATGTGTTAAATAGGGAACATGTAATTTCCAATAGATCATTGTACTATTTCTTCATTGGTTGCTTATTTGTGATTGGTAAAACAACTTTGATAGCCTATAGCTTAAGGGCATCTACAATGTTACTCTTGTGCAGGCGCCTAGAGCAAAAAAACATCAAAAATTTAAGAAAAAGTAAGTGCCCTCTCCTCCAATGCTAGGCGCTTATCACGGGCTCTAAATACGTAGGGCCGGCTCCCGGTTTCTTTACCCGCTTGTCCAGGAAAAAAAGAAAGCGATTGATGCATCTATTGGCATCAATGCGGCATCAGGCACTGGGAACAACTAATGTAGCTGGCGATCTATCAGGAAATAAATCCTAGTGTCCATCACTGGCGCCTAGCATTAGAGATGCCCTAAGAGAACATGCAATCTGTATATATCCGGTATCAAGTCGCACAAATAAATTTGTTTGTAGTTTAATGCATATGTAATCTGCCGGCAAACATATATGATTATCTGAGAGATGTGGTACACATATATTCGTATGAACAAGGCACTGCCTTTGGCTCAGTTAATCCATTTATAGACATATATTCAAACAGAAGAGTACATATACATTTTGTGTGCCCCTTGTATGATTTTTAAACAGTGTCTATGCTGAACAATAGCTTCGAATACATAATTCAATTCCAAAAAATACAGTCAACATACATAAGCATTGTGGTTTGAAGTTGCAGTATAGTTGGCCAAATGTAATGCAAGACATGCTTGATGTAAAAAGGTTTTTTTTTGCGGGTGATCTAAAAAGGTTATGTTAGTAATGAAAAAATATAGGCGGCGGTATGCAAGAAAATTTTGTAGTAATGTACGTCTATTGGGTGAGATTAGGATTAGACCACCGCTTCCTATTGGGTGTAAGATGCTCCCCTTTCTCAATTTCTTCTTACCAAGTAAGCCTATTTGGTAGTGCAATTCGGTCCTCGACAGAAAATGGAGTCTCTTCCTTCAACAAAAGAAATGATTCATGACCTGAAAATATAACCAATAAACAATGAGTGAATACTTATCTTTATTTAAAGGGATATAAATTATGGTTCTTTGATTGCTCTACCCATTAATTTGGCCACTAATATTAAGCATCTATCACAGATATATATGTATCATGGTTTCCAAAAGCTATTCCCCAAGAGTATACAACAATAAGAAGCCAGGGGTGAATCATTATCTTTTAGCATGGACACTATGATGTTTCAGCGTTCTGTCATTGCATTGAACAGGAAAGAACCTTCTTGGCAAAGGTGCATCACTATTACCTTCGGCATAGCGAATATTGCCACTGAACAACACTCATCGTGCCAAGATAGAAGTATTATTATAAGGTATGCTACTTCAAGTGGTCATCGATAGCAAGGGAAACAATGTGTTGTATCACTGTTGTTATATATCTGAAATCTCAGTGCACATCACATATATATTTTCTAGCAATACCAAGCTTTGATCTCAAACAGAACATATCCACCTTACCCTCAAGATAACTGAACAACAATACCTGACAGTGGGTCACCCAGTGGAATCCATCCATCTTGGCACCAAATCGAAAGTTCCGGGTAGCTCCAGCTTGCCAAATAAAAACTGAATGATTATGATTTATGCACCTAGGTGATATCCCTGTGCAGATCATAATGGTTATACTGTGCGTGTTACCAACTTTGCTAGCCACATCACAGATATTTACACCTAAAGGGTTGAAGGACAAAATATTCAGCACTTACTATGAGTAAAGAAAAATCCTAAAAATTATATCTATGGACTTGCAAAGACAATCAAGAGCAAAGGCTGATGTGAAAGCTTACATCAGGTGTATATATGACTCATCTTATTCCACCAAATTGTAACAAACATTGTGATTTGGAACTAACTGGACAGAAAAGTATGATGCAAATTATGTCCTCTCGCATGAAACATATCATTACAGCGGCAAAATCATGTCATGTAATAGAAGCTACTATTTCGTGCAAGAGGCTGCAAAAACTCTACCTATATACTCCCTTTGAATCACCCTGGTAGCAGCCAAGCCCTCTGTCGTTCCGCTAGCAGTGAAGCCACCATGGTCCACCCTTAGTTTTTGCATGGTTCATCTTCTCTGCACTAAACACTTTGGAGATGAGATTCTTCTGCCTTCTCTGCTTTTGGAAAAAAACATAAAAGGCCTACAGATCAAACCGTCATATATGTGCCACTTCAGTTTCTATAATTTATTGATTCTCTTAAAATTAGATGAATGTTTCATCATCTCGTGTTTGTTAAAATATATAATCAATTGCAAGGGATTAGAGGCCGCATGTATGATTTTTTTTTAATTTTGGCTGTTGCACAGTAATTACCAGTTGCATGGATAGCCGGCTAGTTAGTGGACGAAAAGCTACATAAGTAGGATGTCGCTTTGTAAGCTTACTCCTGCATCAATGAACCATTGAAGAAATGAAATCTATCCACATATCCAGATCTACGGTAGGAGCCTAGAGAGGCACACGAACAACAAATTGTTGCCAACGCCAAAGGAACTGCTAGCCTGACACTGGTGAGCTGCACGCCCGCGATACAGAACCGCATGCCAACGAGCTGAACCAACACCGCCCCATGAGCTGCATGTGCTGCCCAAACCACACTCGCAGATCTGGATGTCGTGGAGAATTGGATCCGAGGTAGGAGCAAGAACCACACATGGCCGCCAGCACCGCCCCATCGATGAACTGCACTGCACACACACAACAACACTGAATCTGCTAGCACGCAGTAATGAACTACACATATCCCGTGAAACAGGGAGCTGAACTGAAAACTGAACCTTAAATTGCACAAATCAAACTGCAACCCACAAACTTTTGCCACTGCACCTTGTGGGACTGGGCACCGAACTGCAACTCCCGTGATGCCCGAACGCAAGCAGCGTTGCCGTGCACTGCACCTGAAGTATTGCACGCACGCAAAACAAATTGCAAGTCCGCGTCGGCAGGGATTTTCATCGTGAGATGGCCGACGTCTTCACTGTGGTCCACCGTGTGGGTGAGTGTCGTGGAGGTGACAGCCGTAGGAAGGCGGTGGAGCACCTGCTCACCTCCTCAATAGAAAAGTGAGCGACATGTGAGCTGCGCATGCTCGAATGTGAGGAAGAAGGGAGGAGGTGAACGACCCATCTGGTCACGGCGGCGCGGTCCATGAGCCCGGCTTCCAGCGCCGAACTGCAAAGAGAGGGGGGAGCTCTCCTGCGGCTCAACGTAGAAGAAGGTGGTAGATGGCCGGGGACGACCGGATCCAGTGTTGTAGGCGGTGGTTGGCGGCGCAGGGGTCCCCGGTGGCCGGATCCGGCGCTGGTGGCCATACGCGGGAGGGGCGCAACAGCGCGGGTAGTGGAAGGGGCCGGGGTCGCGCTGCTAGGTAGGGGTGCCAGGCGGCGCGGCGTTTCTTGGCTGCCGGCGGGATGTGGTGGGAGGTGCGGCTGGTGGAGGTTGGGGCGGCGCGAGGGAGGCTGGGGAGCGGGCGACGCACGAGGGAGGCCGGGGAGGAAGCGCACGGGAGGAGGAGGGTCGGGGGCGGCGGCGGCACTCGGGCCTGTGCGGGGCGGATCTGGGCTCGAAACGTTTTCTCACTTTAAAAAGGACCGCGGGTTTAATACCGAAAACTACAAGGAGTTTCTGCAAAATCGATGACGACGTACGACCAGAAGCACTAGCTGGTTTATTAGTAGGTAAAGATTATTAGGGGAGATTATGTAGGAGGTAGGACTAGCAAAAAGGCCTGTGCGTTGTAACAGGAGAAAAAATATGACACGTTCTTAATTTATAAAAATGTTCTATAATCTGAGAATTTGTAGCTATTTCTTAAATATATGAAGAGTTAAAAAGGTTGATA